TATTATATAGAAAATAAATAAATAAATAATTATAATAACTTTAACTATAGAAATAAAGCTTCTCTTACTTTTATTTATAGCTTAAGAAGTAATATTTATAAGCTGCTTTATAATATCTCTCTAAATATAACTCCTTAGAGAGATAAAATAGAAAGTATCCTTTTAACTTATAAAAAGTACTCCTATAATAATATAAATCTAATATAATAACTAGTAGATAGTTAGGCTAGTTACTAAGAAGCTTATTTATCTCTAAATAAAGTTATACTATATTAATATCTATAACTATTAGCTTTATTAAGAGATCTATAAGAAGTATATATTAGTAGTATATACTTTTTTTATATAGCTAATAGTAAATAGTTTTATAAAATCCCTCTTATAGTAGGCTTTTAAGAACTTCTAAATATAGTTAAGAATAACTAGTTAAGAAGAAACCTTTAAAAGAAACTATACTTTTAAGTTTAAAAAAGATAAAGAAAGCTAGAGGAAAGAAATAGAGAAAGAAAATATTTAAAATAACCTTATATAATAAGTATAAAGAGTTATAGAGATAAGAAGTAAAGAGTATAAAAAAACTTCTATTTAAAGTAGAAAACTACTAGAGAGACTAAATATCTATAAACTTATAGCTTAAAAGTAGAACTATCTTAAGCTAAAGCTTCTAAAACGCTAAAAAACTATAAAATAAGAATATTTAAATACTCTTAAAGGTAGGAATAAGAAGGATAGCTTTATAAGAAGTAGCTAGAGAGATAGCTAACTTAAAGGTATTAAGCTAGTTATAAAACTCTTTAAGGTTAATATAGCTAAACTTAGAAGTATAGAGGAGAGTATAGTTAAAGTTATAATAAGTAGCTATAATAGTACTTTAAGTGTAACTTAAAGTAGAGTAAGAACTAGAGAAAATACTTAAAAGAGTAAGAGAAGTATAAACTAAAGTCTCTAAATAAGGAGGAAATAGGCTAAAAGGAGGTATAGTAGTAGAAAGTATAAAAGCTAAAGTAGAGTAGTAAATATATAAAATATACTTAAGAGGGGTAATACTTTGCTTCTTAGTAGCTTTATAAGCTATAATAACTTTATAAGTAGTATCTTAAAGGTCCTCTTAAGTAATATTAATTCTCTATGAAAAATTAATAACTATATAGAAATACTTAATAAGGGATAATTTATACCTTAGCTAAAATAGACTTACTATTTTTAGTATATTTTTTTATTTTATAAAGCTTATAATAGAAGGTAATAATCTCTTTAATATTTATAAAGTAGTTATTATTTTTTATATAGTAGTAGTAATAAGTATTTTTATTAAGGAGGTAGTAGTTAGAGTATAAATAGCTTCTACTAAAAGAGAGGGAGTAGCTAAAGTAGAGTTTATCTTCTAACTTAAGAGAGGAGTTTATAGAATTAAAGAGGTTATTAGCGCTTATAATAACTTTACTTTCTTCTTCTTCTTCCTTTTTACTAATAGTAATAGTAGTAATAATCTTTATATTAGTATAAATAGCTTAGAAAGTAGTTTCCTCTTTTTCTTATTTCTTCTTCTTAGTAGTAGTATATTTAATAAAGTGCTTAGTAGTATAGTTCTTCTTCTTCTACTTAATAAGGGAGAGGATAAGAGCTTTAGCTTTCTTAATCTCTTTCTTCTTTTTAGCTTCCTTCTTAGTTTAGTATTAGACGTTAGAAGGGTAGCTATACTTCTTCTTAATAGAGGTCTTCTTAATTTAGCTATTATTAAGGTCTTCCTCTTTAATAAGCTAGGTAGTAGGACACTTAGTATAGCTAAAAGGGTAAGTAAGTAAAGTAAGGATAAGAGCTATAAGAAGAAAATTAATAATAAAAGATATTTATAAAAAGAGTATAAACTAATAGCTAAAATTAATAAAAGAGGTTAGCTTATCCTCTTTAAAGTTATTAGAGAGGCTAGAGAAGAAGTAAGCTAAGTAATAATACTTAAAGGTTTTAAATATATATATATAGCTAATATAAGAGGTAGTAAAGTAAGCTTTATACTTAGTATTAAAAATATTATAAGAAGATATTATAAAGTATTTAATTTACTTAAAGTAAGTGTTAGTATAGTAGTAAAAAAGTAGTATAAAGATAATATATAATTTATAAAATCTTAAAAGTTAAAGAAAAAAGGGAAGAAAAATAATAAGAAGTATAAGTAGTAAAAAATTATTTATTTACTTTCTTATTTTTAAAAAAAGCTAAAGTAGTTAATAAAACTATAACTAATTAGAAGCTTTAAGTTAGTTAAGTAAAGTAAAAGATATTTTATTCTATTATTTTAATTACTTATAATAAGAAAAGTTATTATTTTATAATTTATAAAACTATTAAAACTATAATAATAGGAAGTAATTAAAGCTATTTAGAAATACTTAATTAAGCTATAGGGATAATTATGTAATTATATTAATTATCCCTAAGGGGGTATATTAGATTATAGGGGTTAAAATAGCGCTTTTTAGCTGCTAGGGGGTAGCTTAGATAAATAGATAATCTGCCTGATAAGAGCGATAGGCTTTGTGAAAACCGCGCGCAGAGTGTTTGCTTATGCTTAGGGATAGGTAGTTAATATATATCTAAGTTAATTTGTTACTGTTATTTTAAGTAGGTAAAAATTATAGTGAACAGCTAGAGGCTACTTATAAGCTAAATATTTAATTAAAAATAGTTTAATAACTAAAAAATATATAGTTCTCTTAAAAGCTTAAAATATTTATATTTTATAAAATATTTAATAATATAACTACTATACTTTATTTATATCTTTAAAAAATAAATATATAGTTATTTATAAAGATATTATATATAAACTTTATTTTCTTAAAAAAATATCTATTAATAAAGCTATTAATAATATTATAAATATTAACTACTTTAAAAATAGAAAGAATTACTTTAAAAAATAAATTAATATATAAAATACTAAAAGTTAATATATTTTCTATAATAAACTTAATTAATAAAATAATAACTAATATTAAAAAAAACTATAATTTTAATAGTTACTTTATTATTACTCTTATTCTTTATTTTAACTTTAGTTTTTATTTTAGTTTTTACTTTAACTTTATTATAAGTTTTAAAAGCTTTTCAAAATATAATTCTCTTAAGAATAAAAATAGTTTAATAAATAGTTAGCTAAATAATTAATAATATAAATATTATAATATAAAATATATAATCTTATTTATATTTTTATATATAGCTTTAAAGAATTAAAGTTTTAATATAGAAATAAATAATAATATAAAGATATATATTTTCTTTTTCTCTTTATAAAAAGTATATTTACTTTTTTATTTTATACTAAATATATATATATTAAGTAATATACTTTATTAAGTATTTTATAAATAAAATAAATAAATTTTATTACTTAATAATAATAGCTACTCTTTTTCTTAACTTTTAGCTTTTAAAACTTCTATTTCTATTTAGAAATTAATAAATAATATAATAATTTAACTAAAACTATAAATTAAAAATATACTTTATTTATACTTTTAGTATAATTTATAAATAAATAAAAAAATAAGAGTTATAAATTATAAATTATATACCTCTTTAGCTTTTCTACTTTTTATAAACTTTTTATTTTTTTTAAGTTTATTAGTTTTAACTTTTATAAAATAACTTAAATTAATAATTAATCTATAAGAATAATAAAATAAAATAAAAATATTATAATAAAAAAAAACCTTAAAAAATTAGAAATAGAAAATAAAATAACTTATTTTTAAATTTAAAGCTTTTAAACTTTAAAGAAAATATAAAAAAAATATTTTTTTTTCTCTTTCTTTTTCCTCTTTTTATTAATAAAAATAATTTTTATTTTAGTTATTATAGCTATATATTTAATTTTAGTTTTCTTAATTATCTAAATAATATAGTTAGTATTAAAAATAAGATTATAAATAAAAAGAAATATTATAATTATAATATAAATATATATATATATATATAAAAATAAAATAAGTAATATATATATTAGTTATAATATAAATAAAGAAAGAAAATTAAGAAATAAAAATAATATAAAAGATATTATTATTATTATTATTTTATTATTTTAATAACTATTTTAATTTTTTTATTTAAATTAATAAAAAACCTCTATTTTTATTAAATAAAATAGTAATATTAATTATTATTTTAATATTTATAATCTTAATTATAATAATAAATATATAAAGAAAAAAACTTTTTTTTTTATAATTTAATAATAAAACTATAAAATTATCTTTTTTATTAATTCTTTTTATTAATTACTTCTTTTTATATTTATTTATAATATTATATATATATTTAGATTTTATAATATTAATTATATAAATTAAAGTTTTTAAGCTTTTTTAAACTTAAAAAAGTATATTATAATACTTTTAAATATCTAAAATAACTTTATACTTAGAAAAAAGTATAAAGTAATTTACTTCTAACTTATTTATTTAGATTAATAATATTCTAGTATATTAAGATCTACTCTTTAAAAAACTTTTTATATTAGACTCTAATTTAGAAGGAATTAAGCCGTTTTATTCATATAAATACTATATATACGTTATAGTTAGTTTACGATAGCTATGCTTCAGGTTAGTTAGGTCACTAAGAAGGGCTCACAGTTCCAAGACACTTACCCAAGTCCATCCACACCTGTCGCCCATCACCAAGACCTATGCTATACTTAATGAGCACGCAATAGGTGGATGCGGTTAACGGTTCACTTCCAGGAGCACTGCTTAGATTGACCTGATATCTTGCGCTCCGTTCAAAGTCCTTTGCAAGCTTGGATGCTGAAGGTTCCTTGACAGCTTTATGGACAGAGAAGCGAACACTGTAAGCACAAATGGCTAGCAGTAAGCTGCGCGTGCAGGTGCCCGCGCAAATTGTCTCGATGAGTTGATCTGCGGGCACTATGAGTCCTAATAGCGAGCTTGATCGACAGTAGAATAACTCCACGAGATGCGCACAAACGTCCGGGTCTACCGTTTTCCAACTAGATGCGTCTCGGCGCTTGACCTTAGCCCTTGTTCTTGAAGAGTGGCTGAGGGCATGACTGATACATACAAGGAATCCGGAGTGCTGGCATCCATCAACACAGACACAAGTCCGCCTCGCCACTCAGTCGCTGGCGGAAACACATCTTCTTCGGAATCAGGGTCTTCATCGTCTAGATCATTGGTAGCAACGATTTTGATGGAGCTTGCTACATTAGGAGAGGAGGGAAGGTATTCGCCGCCAGAGAATGAGCTTATCTGATCGACGTGCCGGTCAGAAGGTCTCGAGGGCGCGGGCGCAATCAGGCAAATCCGGGAAGGCCGGCTGCTGTTGGCTCGTGGCCGCGGTCCGCGGCGATTGCGGTTCCTATCATCGAAGTGACACGGATGACGATTTTCGGCACAGAGTTTGCATGGAGCACTACCAGTGCACTTGACCTATGTAATTGGAAAATCAGGAGTCCCGTTGCACCCAGTCGAGGCGGGGACCATCAGTAAAACCAACTTACTCGTTTCTTGCGGCAATAGTCACAAGCAAGTGTGACCTTTCTTCTCAGACTGCCGTAGCCAGGATCCACAGAGGCTTCGGGCATCGTGAACTGAGCTTATGTCTCCGTCGACGAATGGCTTACCCGGGGCGTCAGATGAGGCTGGGGAATCAAGAACGGCCACTTGGTGGCTATCGTTCGATGGAAGGAGTGACCAACGCGGCACAATTCAGAGTGTCCAGCTTTCAGATGCCTGGGTACAGGACACGAAACGATGTCGGGCGAGTCGGCAGAGCATGAACGGGTACAATGATGTACAAGTTGCAAGTAACGAGGCTCACTGTGTGACTCAAGCAGGGATACCCAGGCACAGATCCTGTCCGGACCCCTCTTACCCTGGTCAGTCTCACTCTCTGCCCACCGGCCCTTGCTAGTGCGGGAGCCGGAAGCGGCCATACCGCAGGCTCCTATCCGACTAATCTTATTGGTCCTAATTTTCCGGAGCAGTTCTTCAGTAGGTCTGTGAGTCACCATGAGGCTTCGTCAGTGAACCGCTCGGTATGTGTGCTCATAGGTTCCTGCTCCCGGCCAATTCGTGACCAATCGTTGATGTGGCAGAGTATAACGTCTCCTGCTCCGTTTGAGAATCGTACATGTTTGCTGCTGGTACATCGTTCATTTGGCGGATAATAAATTGAAACACAGCAAGATAAATGTTAGTAGTCCCAAAATACTTGTCAAGAAGTAGAAGCGAAAACTCTCGATCTTTGACTAATCATTGAAACTTGATACGTATCTTTCCATGTTGCTCAAAATGGTAGACTCTAGAGATGGTTTTACCTGGACGCCCACCGGAGGCTTGCGCCGCGGCTTGCCCACCATTGGAGTTGTTGAACCGCCTGTGTATACCTCGCCCTTGTCCGATGGCAATCTCGCGTACGACGTCATTGTAATTGGTGCTGGTTATGCAGGCTTGGTGGCAGCTCGAGACTTGGCTACGCAAGGTCCGCACTGTAGACCTCTCCCACTATGATATGCGCTTATAAACCGTCCAGGAAAGAAAACTCTTTTGATAGAAGCCCGCGATCGACTTGGCGGGCGCACATGGCACGCAACCATTGATGGCTTCAATTACGAGATGGGTGGCACGTGGATACATTGGCACATGCCTCATATCTATCGCGAAGTCTCTCTATATGGGCTGCAGGACGACTGGCTTGTCACACAGCAGTCCGGCAGCAAAGAGGACTATTTTACCCTAACGACCCCCAATGCCCAACGGAACATGACCCATGACGAAGAGGCTAGTCTATCTCATCAGCCACAGATGTCATAGGCCAAGAGGCTCAACGCTAACATTTCACCAGGCCGACATGTTTGGACGCGTGTGGCGGATGTTCTGTGATGTAGATGGCGACGACCTTCGACAACACTGGAAGTTCCCATTTGGAACAAAACAGTCGCCCGAGCTATCGGAAGAGTGGGACAAAATGTCCTGCCAGGACCGGCTCAATCAAATCCAAGATCGGCTCAGCCTTGAAGAGAGATCGATGCTTGAGGCACTGCTGAAGCAGATGGGTGGGACTTCCCTCGACAAGATGGGTCTCCTCAACGCCCTTCGATGGTGGGTATTGGGCTCCCACAATCCGACTGGCCTGAACGACATTGCTCTGCACACTAGACTGCGCAGCGGTAATGGCACTTTGCACAGACGAATTTTTGAGCATGCGGTCTCGTCTGGAAATCTATCCTACAGCTTCAACTCAGCAGTCAGTAAGGTAGTGGACACGGGTGAGTATGTCACAGTGTTTTCCAAAAACGGTCAATCGTGGAAAACCAAGTCGGTTATTGCAACTGTTCCGCTGAACGTGTTGGCCGATATCGAATTCTCGCCAGCGCTTCCAACAGCGAAAGTTGAGGCCAGCCGTCAGGGTCAAGTCAACTTGTGCAACAAGCTGCACGTAGACCTTGATGGCCCCGACTACAAATCTTGGACATCCTTCGCTTCTCCTGGAAGAGGTTTTGTATGCGCTCTGGGAGATCATCTAACGCCGGCCAATAATTCTCACCTGGTTGCCTTTGGTCCCGATCCGTCCTCGCCTGGTGGCATACCCCTATCGGATATAGACCAGGTAAAAAAGGGAATTCTGCACCTGCTACCTGAAGGGAAGAGAGCCGAAGTCGACTTCCATCGTATAGTATGTCTTCACCCTATTTCTGTTGAAAGAATTGTCTAAAATGTATGTTCTCAGGTTGCCCATGACTGGGTCAATGACGAGTTTGCCAAGGGTACTTGGTGCTATATGGCACCAGGATTTACGCAGAAATATGTTGCTGCTCTGCAGAAGCCGCATGGAAATATCTTGTTCGCTAGCGGGGATTATTCCGAGGGTTGGAGGGGCTGGATCGATGGTGCTGTGCAAGCAGGTATGGAAGCGGCTCACACGGTCATTCAGCTTCAGCGCAAGAATCTGAAGGAAAACGGGGAAACCAACGTCAACGGCATCAATTCAATGAAGCTTTGAAGGCTTTAAGACATTGGTTGCTTGGGTATTTGGCAAAAGATTGGATCAATCTTGCAGCGCAACCTAAGAACGTAGTGAGAACCGTAGCCATCAAAATCCGATCCATGCAACGACTTTGAATCAGAATCAAGCATCAAGTAGTCGTAGATACTTTCTGTTACCTATCAAACACATATTATGAGGACAACCTGTTTTATCACCATGTATTTCCCAGCACTCGTCGATAAAATGAAGGTATGCCCGGCTAACTTGTTCACGTTACGGAGCCTTTCCGCTATTATGCGAGATCGGACGCCTGCCAAAGCTTCAACCAATTATACAACCAAACAGAGACCGAAGTCCATATTTTATGATAGATAGCTGTATATTTGAATGAGATAGAAACTTTGGATACACTGCAAAACATAAATGCATTGTACTATCTTTCCGCTCGACCTTCTATCGTTTGCATCAGGCCATGATACCTGTACCTGCCGTACGCAGTCCAGGAGATCGTCGCCGCTGCGAGACCACCGCATACCACCACCGAAGCGTAATTCATATTCGTTGTGGTGACAGGCTTATACGTAGGGAAGCACATCATGATGATGAGGCAGAGGGACCAAGCTAGCGCCACTGTGGCGACGAGCCGATGGTATGTTCCCAACGAAAAGGGACCCTTTGGTAAGCTGCAATGCTTGAATCCGAACAAGACGGCCATGCATATGGGCATAGCGTATGAGATAATAAGCGTAACGGTGCACGCGCTGGAAAGTCCGTAGTATGCCGTTGCGTTGCCGACGTAGATGAGACTCAGAAGACATACAATAGCCCAAGTAATCAAAAGCGAAAGGACCGGGGTCTTTGTGCGGCTGTTGACCTTGGAAACGGACTGAGGGAGGCCTCCGTCGCGAGCGAAGGACCAGATCACACGGGATGTCGCCGTCATGATGCTGGGTCCCACGCCAAGAAAGCCCATCAGAGGTAGGTAAAGGGTCATACCAACCGTTACCGCTTTGTTGCCACCAGACACGTTGTAATAAAGTTGTGCCATGAAGCTGATCGTTCCTGTAGGTCCGCTTAGAACCCCGGAGATATCGGTGATGCAAAACACAACTCCAATGATCCATGGAAACGTCAGAACGGCACTGCACGCTATGTTGATGATCACTGGATGATTATGAGCATGTTAGCAAGGCCAATCACCATGTTTTTGCTGCGCTCTTAAGTGGGACTCACAGCTTCGTGGCAGATCACGCGACGCATGTTTCATTTCCTCGGACATGTGCAGCGGACTATCCCAGCTTACAAACCCAATTGCAGAGGTGAGAAGTCCAATAAGCCAGCTAATCTTCAAAGATGTGTCAGTAATTTTGCAAACACTCTGGAGCAAGAAGATCCGAGGAACTCTACTTACTCCGGGACTTTCCCAACCGCTCAAGCTCGTGGAATCCGTAAACACATACTTGGCAGTGTTCTTTGGATTAACACGGACCAAGAGGTAGATAACTGTGGCGAAATAGCCGACAATGTGTACGAACATCGCGACAAACAGCAGGCGATGGAGCATCTTGACCTCGAAAACTGCAAATAATGTGTAGAATGTCGCGAGGCCGATGACGATCTGCCAAAGAGCGCTTGGAATTAGCGAACTGAGGTTTCTCGTATAGACGAACTGGAGACATATGATAGGATCAAACTCACAAGTGCAGTGTGCCATCGCTCGTATGTGTAATCAGGACTGAAGAGAATTGCCCACGCTTGGATCTGCATTGCGGTAGCAAAGATGCCAGCAAGTGCGCATAGAATCCAGCCTAGCATTGTCATCCAGCCTGCATACCACGAAAGAATTCTTTGGAACTTTGGTGGCGAGAGCTCGGCCACGTAATGGTATTGGCCGCCTGCCGTCGGAATCATGCTGGAGTACTCTGCGATGCAGAGGACAGTCAGGAGAGCACCGAGGCTGCTTGCCACGAAGCCCCATACCAAACTGGAACTGCCTCCTGACATCAGACCCTGGGCCATTGTGGACGAGATTGCCTCCCAGGTGATACTGGAGCAGAACGACATGAATGCGAGCGACCAAATGTTGAAATTGCGGCGGAGCTCTGACGGCTCTAAGCCAAGTTGCTGAAGTTGGATATCATCGTCGTTGATTTGGGATTTCTTCTCGCTGAGAGCGGTATCCGTTTCGTCTGAGTGGCTGATTTTCGACATCGTTGTCCCAGTCTCGTAGTCAATACTGTTCTCTGATCTACCAGGTTGTTAAGAATACTTTCGGTTTCACGACACAAACTGCAACCTGTACGCCTTGCTGCTTTATTGCGCAAAGTGTTACAATGAAGATCGTGCGTCTACTCCTGTTTTGTAGCAAATGCTTGCACCAGGGCTGCCAATTCCGACCCCAAGCTCGGAAAGACAATGTTGTGCTGTACAGCGGTTTGATAAGCTCAACTGCTATCTTCAAGCTGTATTCTGTTGTTGACGGTCGCATGCTTTTCCCCACTGGATCGGGTATCGCGCCGGAAAATCACAGCCTATGAGGAACGTTCTAATAACACCAGATGACCGATGACCAGGGTTAATGCAACCTCAGGAGCCGGAGCTTAATCAGGGCGAGTGTATCCGGATGCGCAGTGACCCATTGATTCGACAGGGGAAACGTGTCAAGTGTGTAAGTGCATACCAAGGTCCGCAAGATAACGCGGGCATAGCGATGGAAGAATCGGCTCCGAAGCAGCGAGATGCAAAACATCGCCTTAGGACTGAGATAAAAAAGGTTCCGATTGAGTACTTCAAACATCACAACGCACCAATACGCATTGAGTTCTCCACAAGCTTCAGTCTCATCATCTCATCTCACACAGCGCACCTCGCAAACTTGACATACAGCCGTTCCAACGATGGCATCTACAGACGAATTACGAGTAGTCATTGTCGGCGCGGGCTTTTGCGGTCTGACGGCAGCAATCGAGTGTAAGCTCCGAGGCATGCACCCAATTCTTATCGAAGCATACCCCGGCGCCAGCTCCCACGGTGATTTGCTGGACTTTGTGCGAAATGCCGGCCGGGTCTTCGAGTCGTGGGGAGGAGGGAAAGTTGGCCGCGCGCTCACCGCGGTGGGCGTGAACGCTGCCAAGTATCTTGAGTTCTTCAACGCCGACAACGAGCTCCTGCACAAGGACCCGTGGCCGCAGGGCACCGAGTTTCAATACGTCTACGCTGGACACCGCGGCGAAATGCATGAGATTGTGTACAGTTACGCTCTGGAGATTGGTGTCGACATGCGCTTTAACACACGCGTCGCCAAATACCTCGACACCGACAAGGAAAGGGGCGTAGTCACGGATACTGGCGAGAAAATCCTTGGTGACGTGGTCTTGGCTTGTGACGGGCCGAAGTCAATTGCGCGCGACCAGTTGCTGAATCTGACGGAGAGCAAGGTCAACAGCGGATATGCGATATTTCGAGCATACTTCAACATCACTGATGAGCTGCGCCAGGCTTCTGGAATTGCCGATTTGCTTCCGGAGGGCGAAGACTGTGTTCGATGCTGGGTTGGACGCGACATGCACGGCTTCATTTACACGTGGAAGAATGGAAGGTGGGTTCTTTTTGATTTTAATGTTTCCCCAGCCTTGAGCTCTCTTTATTGTGCTTTCACTGTGGGCACACCATGGACATCATGAATCTATAATCTAACTGGGCTGTAATACTTTTAGGGATTGTGCTTGGGTCTTAACTCACAAGGACGAGACAGACATTGCAGAGTCGTGGTCCGAGAAGACCACCAGGGCGGACGTTCGATACTTCCTGGACAAAGCCAAGTTCCCTGAAGTATGGTACACTATTCTCGAGGCCACTCCAGAGGACCGATTAATTGACTACAAACTTGTGTGGCGAGACCCTCTTACCACTTGGCTCTCCCCTACCAAACGAGCCGCGGTTATGGGTGATGCAGCACATTGCCACCTTCCTACATCAGCTCAAGGAGCTTGTCAAGCAGTCGAAGACGCAGCCGTAGTTTCCATGTGTCTGGAAAGGTCCAAGGGGGATGTTGAGCTGGCGTTGCAGGTCTTTGAACGCATCCGATTCAACCGGTCTCATGTTATTCACCAGGCATCCATATCAACCCGAAATATCTACCACCAACACGACTGGACGCCCGAGTATGTTGCAAAGCACCCTAGCTCCCTGGTCATCCCACTTTTTGACTGGATCACCGAATACGATGTCTACAAAGAGGTTGATGCGCATTTTGACCACTTGGCTGAGGATGTAAGGAGCGGCAAACAAGGCACTATTGAACAGCTGGCGCTGCCAGCCGGTGGAAATTACGATGAGATGGAGATCACTGCCAACAAAGAGGTTTTTTCGGACCTGGGAAGCAAGCCTTCGATTGTTACCTTGGAGGCAAGTTCTGTGCAGGCGTAAGCATCTCAGCCATGTTACGTCAAACAATTAGTCATGTTATATTTGGCAGCCAGTCTTGGCTGTTGAAGCAACATGCATGGCGTTTATCAATCGCATCACATTTATATCGTAATATCATGACCGAAATACTTTCTGGGACGCTTTGATCATATTTAAGCACCGCTTTTTCTACTTCAAGGGCTTGATAATAGTAGACGCAGTCAAATCAAACAACACAGAGGCGCACTCAACCAAGATCTTCATTCTAGTGATAAGTTCCTCACGTTTCATCGATTCGCGCTCCCGCTTTCCGTATCGTCACTCGTTGGGAGCACGAACTTCCCGAAGTATGGTTAGCAAATTGTTTACTAACGCACAAAATGCTGCGCAAGCTCTTCTCTTGGATTTTTATCTCATTGAAAACTACAGCAGTATATCTCTCCTACTTGGGCAAATAGGCCTCGACCGTGATTTCAATATGTAGCCCAGGGAAGACAAGAGATTTAACCTCCACGCCCGTCCACACAGGTCGGGTATTCTTCAGATAAGACTTTGCAATTGGGATCACCACACCAGCAATGCCTTTGTCATTGTGAGCAACTTCGAAAGTTTTCACCTGTCCCTGAGGTCAGTATGCAGACTACATCACCGGGGTTGGGTACAAAAGCCATACAGAATAGACGTGCTCCCATGCGTCGTCGCCAAGATCAGCCGCCTTGAGGCTGCGATTGACATGTTCGAAGGCTTCTTTGACTTCATCCTCGATATTTTCAGGGATTGAACCGTCGTCTTTGATTCCAAGCTGACCGCCAACTACGATTCGACTGGCATTCGGTGGCACAACCACGGCATGCGAGATGCCAAAATCCTGGGCTGAGGCTTCACCTCCGGCCCAGTCAGCAAAGCGGAAACCGTGCTGTGTAAGCGTTGACTCTGCCATGTTCGGAATGCACGGAAAACTATTTGCGGAAGTTTTGCCATTTTGAAATTGCCACTGTTTCACGTTCTTGGGTTCATATACCAAAAAGGAATCTGTGCGTTATTCTGTTCTGCCATTAACAAAATCTTCCCTTTACGAGTTGCCATCGGAACCAACAACAGGACCTCGGAATGACTCTTCAGGTGGCCGGGTGGGATACTCGGAGGCCGCGGGCTGATGTCAAACGACGACGTCAAACAATCAGACCGGGAAAATTAGCTTATTGGTTAGTTCTTATCTGGTCCTCGCGACCTCAGGAATCCGGATATTTTCTGGGCAGCTGATTATTTCCTATCGGTCAGCTTCTTGGTTGGTAATTGCAGCCATCTCCTAGGCCACAAGCAGCTAAGCTACACGATATGGTGGAGCAAAATTACTAGGATGAATGCGGGGTAATTACCTTGCAGAGCAGGGGTTACCACTGTTATCTAATTCACACACGCACTCTCAGTACTGGGTAGGCTAAGACTGGTTAAATGACTATGCAATAAAGCCGTAATCCCCATGCCATGTTAATTCCTCGACAGGTTATGTTAAACATTGATCTTCTCTACTGATGCACATTGACGGCGTTTTGCTTTTCAAAATTCAGCGCGCTGATCTTCGAGCCATGGCTCTCTCTTCAAAAGTCGTTGTGTTAGTCCAACAGAAATGGCACCTGGTCCTGCCCTGCTTGGTGCTGGTCTATTTTCTCTGGAATCGCTACCAGAAGAGGCTGTCAAAAGTCCCCGGCCCTTTGATAAACTCATTCACCACGCTGCCGCGAATGTGGTCGGTCTACCGAGGCCACCACCACTTGGACGAGCTGAAATGGCATGCCAAGTATGGCAAAATAGTGCGTGTAGCGCCGAACCTCATAGCGATATTCGACGTGGATGAGATCAACCAGATATACGGCATTGGCACCAAGTTCGTCAAATCTCCATTCTATGATCTTTCAGCTGTCTATGACGAGGAAGGCCTGGTCCCGGATCCCTTCGTAATTCGACATGACAAAGGACTCCACTCGCGCATGAAGCGCAACGCTGCCAATGCATACAGTATGAATGGGTTGGTACAGTTTGAACCATGGATCAACACCGTCATGGACCGATTGGTCGCAATTCTAGACAGGAATGTCTCATCTGGAACAGTCTGCGACTTAGGAAACCTGTTCAAGATGTTCGCGATGGACGCAGTGTGCACTTTGACCATGGGGCGAGACCTCTCCTACATGGAGAAAGGTGACCATCTCGGCTTCTTCCCAACTCTCGATCTCTTCACCAGTTACATGTCTATTGTAAGTCTTGTGTAGTACGAGATTGAAGTCAAAAACGTACAAGGGTCAACTGACAAAAACTGCTAAACTAGATGGGCCATGTGTCTTGGCTGCATCCAGTCTTATTGGGCAACCCAACAATCGCAAAGTACATGACAGGTAGTGATAAATCTGGCACGGCCTTACTTGATCTGGCGGCCAAGGAGCTTGAGAGAACCCGGCGTGAGCCTCCCGCAGAGGATGCGCCCATGACATTTTTGGCCCGATTAGGCCTCAATCAGGACGCGAATCCCAAGTCGATTACAGATCGTGAGATAATCACTCATGCCTTTGGCAATCTCTCAGCTGGTTCCGACACCACGGCCGCCGCTATTAGATCCGTCTTCTACAACATTCTCCGTTGCCCCAGAGCTTACGCGCGGTTGGCGAAAGATGTGCGGGAGAACCTACAGCTGCCAGTCACTTTTACTAAGGCATACGCAATCCCTTACCTACGAGCAGTCATTCAAGAAGCTATGCGCTTACATCCTTCTGTTGGCCAACTGCTTGGTCGAGTAGTACCTCCTACAGGAGTCACAATAGGCAAGTACTACCTGGCACCGGGGACAGAGGTCGGTATGTCTCCTTGGGTGGTTCATCGCGACCCGGATATTTTCCCAGATCCTGATGCATTCATCCCGGAGAGATGGCTTGTTGGTGAAAACGGTACAACCGAGGCTCAGCTTCGCCGAATGGAACGATCATTCCTTGCATTTGGTCACGGATCGCATACATGCAGTGGCAAGCATATCAGCATCATGGAGGTCACCAAATTGGTTGGAACACTGATTTTAAAATATGATATGGAATACGTTAAGATTGGGGGAGGTTACACATTTGTGAATCACTGGTTTACATCTCAGACTGGTTTGAATGTAGTGTTTCGCCACGTTAAAAGAAGCAACGCATAGATGCAGCAGGAGACATAAGCCACTCACATGCTTTTCCCTTTCTATCCTAGCCAGTCACAAAAGGTCAGTTTTCACATACGCCTAGGAAGGGTCGTTATAATGAGTTGATTTCAGCTTGCCTTCAGCCGAACGTAATTCTGTCAAAAGCAATGATGAGTTTACCCTGACAGACACACACATGCAGTCTTGAGATGGAATACCGATATGCTACAAACCGCAGCTACCTATGATTACGACCTGGTCCATCTCGTAAGGTCGGCACGAAGGTCTCCAGGAAACAAGGATAAGTAGGGACTTCGAGTCAAAGTATTTCACGACATCAGTTCAAGGCAGGAAACTTCATGCTAGAGTGAACCGGGTGAATAAGAGAGGGCGCATTTAAGAGCCTATGATCATCTCTGGTCGTCAGATCATTAAAATTCTCATTCTGAACGTGCAAAAAATCTGGGCAATTGGCTACATCACGATTATTATGAGTTTCGACCTAGTGTTCCGACCTCGCTGCCATCTTGATATTACAACTTGTAGGTTGCCTCCGTAGATGTTGAATGGTAAGCCTCTGCCTTCAATCTTGCGCAAACATGTGGCATGAAGGTGAGATGATATTCTGTTACCATGTGAATACACGTCCGTCGGGGAGTATTCCGCATCAATCGCACCTTCCGTCTGACTTCACCTTCCTTCCCGTCTGGTACATGCCCCACTCTCATTCACCTCCATCTCATCCCACGTTGAATTTTATCCCACGAAAGGATTTTCACCCCTTTCTCCTATCTCATCCCAATCTTACCACGCCTCTAGGTTGGCTCTTTTCGTCATCGTCGTCATCGTCGTCTTCGTCGCTCACAGGATATCGCTTTTCATACGCAGACGATATCAAGAAGCTTCAAGCTCCTTAGAAGCTTCTCTAGGTAGTGATCTCCATATCCTCAGGCTTTGGCATCTTTTGACTTCCTTCCAGACGATTGAATCGGCTTCGCACTCGAGATCTCACGAAATTGGCTGCTTGTTCAGCTTTCACGCTCGCTCCTGATTACCATCGACGCCGAATCCCCGAATCGAGACTTGTATGCAGAGCTCATCCCTCCAGCTGCAAGGTAGGATAATCTCTGATTTATTTGGCGGTCACGTTTGCTGATACACACACTCCAGAGGCGAAGGACGTCGATCCATACACGATGGTGAACAACGCATTCCAGGGCCCCAACCCAGGCCTGGCTCAGAACCCGAATCAAGGTCTTCCCGCGAACCAGAACCAAGGCCTTGCCGCAAATCCAAACCCAGGCCCTGCCCCCAACGCGCCTCCAGCCTTTGTGATGCGACCCAAAGGCCCCCAGTTGCAGGACATGACCGACCCAGCGTTCCTGCAAAACCCGCCTGCCCAGCGCCCGCCTCTCGGCCCACTCGACTGGGCATTCCACTCGGTCAACAATCCGCAGCTCAGAGTTCTGCTTGCCTATGAGAACCCGCAGAACCTGAATATGCATGTTTGGATCGATCCGATCAACATTGGAAGCACCATTGAGCACTGCGACCCCTGCTTCCAAGGGCCTCAGGGCCAAATCCACAAGTGGAAGGGACCACACACGATTGCATACCTCGCACACGGTGCCAAGCTTGTTCGAGGCTTTGGCTGGAATCTGACTCCTCAAGGAGAGCTCATCAATCTGAGTGTTCTTTACTTGCCGATCAATATCACCTTCGGCAAGACTGTCGTCACGGTCGGAGAAGTCCTACAGCACCTGATGAACAAGGTCAAGGACAGCTTCCCCCACGGCCCGGCTCTGATTGCTGGTGGCAATCTAACCCCAGTTCAACTGAGCAAGGCCATGTTCGCAGCCACCAGTCAGTACCATGGCACCGTCAAGCACTTAATTCACTTGTGCGACTGGATTGGCGGCGTCCCTCTTCAACAGACTTACTATTGAGGGAGCTGTTCTTTGACAACATGATCTTCTTTGGGATTTGTCTTGAGGGAAAGGAAACATTGTTGGCTTTGTCGCGGGCGGTATTTTGTTCTAGGTCGAGTTGTTTCACCATGCCTTCAAAGTATTCTAAGGAGCACAGCAAGGATTGGAGATTTTGCTGCCCGGACTCCAACGTCGATTTATTGCATTGGAGTTGACAGATAATACAACAAACCCGAAGCAAATGTTCAGTGAACTACTGTGCCACCTCCAATTGAACCCCAGCTATCTCGAAATATCCCACAGAATAAGGTTAGAGCTAGCTCCCTGCCCATGACGCAAGAAGCTCAACCAAAACTCCATGTCCGGCTGCTGGAATGTGGGTCCCGGCTGCAACTTTTCTTTTCCCCAATCCATCTTCTGGTCGGAGCTTTGTAGGAGGCGGGGAAACTGAAGCCGAGGTCAAACCAATGACGCCAATTGTAGCACAGATATCGTCGATTTCAAATCTACCCCTCTCTCAACAAACACCATCCGTCACATTGATATCTTGCCATCGATCAGCCGTCCACGTCGCCAGAAGCATCAATTCCTCTCCAAATCCCTTGATATCGACCAGATACAGTCTCTGATTCTTTCCAATCCGTCACCATGGTTAAAGTCGGCGACTCCCTGCCCTCCGGCACCAAATTCACGTAAGCCCCTCCCTTCGAACCATTGACGACAGAGGACTAACCAAACCCTCAAGCTACGTCCCTTACGACCCCCAAACCGAATCCCTCACAGCCTGCGGCCTCCCGATATCCTACGACGCCTCCGCCGAATGGGCTAACAAGAAGGTCGTCCTCTTCGCCGTCCCCGGTGCCTTTACCCCGGGCTGCTCCGCCCGCCACCTCCCCGGCTACATTGAGAAGCGCAAGGACCTCGTCGCCAAGGGTGTCGACATCGTCGCCTGCATCGCGTACAACGACGCCTTCGTCATGAGCGCCTGGAGTAAGGCCAACAACGTCAAAAATAGCACCGAGGAGATCCTCTTCCTTAGCGACGGCGAGCTGGCGTTCAGCAAGCAGATCGGATGGACGATGGGCGAGCGGTGTGCGCGGTATGCGTTGGTGATCGATAACGGAAAGATTGTGTACGCGGAGAAGGAGGAGGTCCCGAAGGAAGTCAGTGTTAGCGGTGTCGATGCAGTGCTCGCGAAGTTGTAGATGAGCTCGGCACAGGTCTGAACTCGCATTCTCCATGGTCGAAACTCGAATCCTATGTTAACCACGCTAAAGTGACTCATTTTCTGCATGGGCTCGCTATCGTTGTCGACGTGGCCTCCTATTCTCTTTATTCTAGCGATGTCTGGTACGGGTGACAATTGAGTAACTCATGCTACAATGCAAGAATGATGTGAAAGCCAAAACACGAATCTAATCCCTTGCCCTCGCCATCCTAAGCTCTCTTCACCTTAGTTTCCTTGCCTTTCGGTACTCGGAAAGCCCAATAAAGCCCCAATGCGGCGCCGATGTTGAACAGTATGAACACCCATACAAATCCAAAGTCTCTCCAACGGGTGTTGAAGCTCAAATCAAACTGGGCCAGAAAGTCGTTCGTCGTACCAAGTGGACAATACCCGCACTCATCTACAGCGGAGGGATCCAGTACACGGCCACCGGCGGCTTCAGCGAACGGACCAAGAAACTCGCCACAGCTCATGTTACCATCAGTTGGCGGTTTCATGTGGAGAACCTCATAGTCCGCGCATGTAACATCCGTGTTCGCAACTGCGGTGGACATGATCCCGCCCACAAGATACGTAGCAGGAGAGGCGCGGTACATAAAGGTCCAGAAACCGGGAAGATCAGCACGGGGGACACCGATGCCGCAGAACAGAATGCAGAGCATCCATAGCAAACTCGTCAAAACGCCAGCCGTCTCCGGGAGATCGATCCAAACAATGGCGAAGTGTGCAAATGTGCTGGTGAAGAGTAGGTAGACCCAAAGGAAGAGGAAAACGAGAAACCCGCGGATAGCTTGGTCATCCGGAGTGGTGTTGCGGACGAAGCCAACGGGGTAGTACCAACAGAAATACATAAGCACGGCCATTATTGAGTTCCAAAACAGCTCAATAAGGATGTTGGCTATGATGTATGTTGTCCAACGGTAAATCTTGGAAGGGCGCTCGCGTGATTCGTACAGATTCCGCTGGGGTACAAACATCGGCATGATCTGCTCGTTGATATTGATGAAGAGAACGAGAAACATGAAGATGGCCCACAACTGATTCTGCAACCCTTGAATGGAGTTGTTGGCACTGTAGCTGAAGCCAAGGTAGAGCGACTGTTGCGTTGGGTCAGCAAATGTTCTCGTCGGTCCAAAGTGCATTCGAGTGTTCACTTTACGTACCGACAAGGCAATCAAGGTAGTCTTTGACCACATATAGACTGGTGATCTCCAAAAATGCTTTGTGGTGCGCACTAACACCTCCCAAAACTGCGTGGAAAATGAGGACACAAATTCTTGGTGCTGGGATTTGTCCTTCGTGCTTTCCATGTCCTTCGTTGATGCGAGGCCCCGAAGACGCGACAGCTCCTTCTTGACTTCTTGATATTCCGGAGAGTCACACCAAGTTCGATGCCAGTCAATGCCGTCGGAATCATCATTGGGTGGCTTGATGACTTCAAGCATCCACTCAGCGGGATTAGCATCAGTTGGGATGGCCGGTGCGCCGTTTCTTTCGAAGTAATCAATGAGCCTAGAAGAGTTATCTCCCAAGTCTAGGGATGATTGTTAGGTCTCTTTCTGAACAACAAACGCAATCATTCACTTACCACCGAAGAAGACAGTTTTCCCTCCCGGGGCAATCAGGAGGAGACGATCAAACTGGTCAAAGAGTATGGCCGATGGCTGATGAATGGTACACAGCACAGCCTGACCGCTATTGGCGAGCTTCCTAATCAGCACAGAGATTGCCCATGAGGTCTGGGAGTCCAGCCCCGAGGTTGGCTCATCGAAGAACACCAGAAGCTGTGGTCGCGCAGCTAATTCTACGCCGATGGTGAGGCGCTTTCGTTGCTCCACATTAAGGCCCTCTCCAGGTACCCCGATTACAGCCCCAGCAAAGTCTTGCATCTCTAACATCTCAATGACATGGTTAACGTACTGAAGTCTCTCTTTGCGGGGCACTTCAGATGATTGCCGAAGAACAGCACTGAACTCCAAGGCCTCGCGAACCGTCATGGTACTAAGATGGATGTCCTGCTGTTGCACATAACCGACTTGGTGTTGGAAGGTGGCATCCGTCGGAACACCATTGATAAGAGTGTCACCACTGACGACACCGATGGAAACGCGAGTTGCAAGAACATCCAACAGCGTAGTCTTTCCGGCGCCCGACACTCCCTATAGCAGCATATCAGTTAGGCCCCGACCTAAAACTGGGGAAATTACCGCTTACCATGAGCGCTGTCGTCTTGCCCGGAGACACCCATCCGTCAATGTGATCAAGAAGTCGACGCTCAACCCCACCCTTGACTTTGATATCGTAGCACAGATCTTCCCAGTGAAAGACGGATGTACCGGCCACAAGGCCTTTGCCATTCAATGATTCTCCGTTTAGACCCTTTTCCGTTGCGGCAGTTTGACTTCCATGTGTTTGGGCCTCGGGATCTAAGGCACTGCCTGACTTCTCAATCTTCATGGCGGAGGGCATTTGTCCTCTTCTGAAGACAAGGACCTCGCCACGGGTCTTTGGTGGCTTCGAAAACTCCGCCATGACCAGATAAGTGAAGAAGAAAAAGATAGTAAAACCGCAGAGAATGCCGACATTCCTCCACTTGTGAGAATTGTAGTATTCGAAGGAGAGGTTGATGTATCTGTCACCATTGACAACCGAGGAACCCGGCTCGGAGCCTACCACGGAGCAGATCTGCGACTCTGGGGAGAGATTGTCGTATCCAGGACCCTGGGGAACCATTCCTGCACAGCCAAACTCCCGTCCGTGAAACTCGTTCGCCATCAGTGCCTCGAAGGAGTAGGCCAGAGGGTTGATGTAGCCCATCCAGCGAGACCAGCCGGGCATGTAAGCCGTTGGCATTGTGAACCCGGTGTAAATCATCAACCCCATTCCAAGCAGAGCGCTAGGAATCATGGCCTGCTCTGGGGTTCTGGTGATGCTTGCTAGAGTGCGGAACATGGCCGATTGAGACAGCGTTGCGAACAGGGTAACAAGGCAAAAGAAGAAGAAAGGGCCAGGCTCCCGCCGCAGATTGGCCATGAAGTAAACGAGAATATTGAACACGAACATGTTGGCAATTTTGTATGGAAGGTCGCAGAGGTAGCTAGCGATCGCTTGAGCCGACTGATGGTAGAAGGCGTACCGGTTCTGTTTCTCCACAACAGGCCGCTCCGCATAGATGGTGAGGACCTCAAGCTGACTACTGAAGGCGTTGAACATCAAGGAAAAGAAGATGATACCACCACGGTAGTAGAAGCTTGAGGAATCCGGCTTCAGGTTGTAAAACATGCTGCCCAGGATGAGGGCCATGATGAGGTTAAAGAGCAGGGATGCGATGGTAAAATCCGGGTCTGCAAGGAGTCGTCGCCAGGCTCGCCAGAATGTGAGTGAGACCTGTTGAACATACGATATCTTATATGGAGACTTGGTGCGCTGTGACTTTGCCTGTTCCGCGTGCCGAGATTGGTTGTACTCCTCCAGCCTTTCTCGAGACGGATGTTTCTGGTCGTAGGCTGCAAGTTCTTGGACCAGGTGCTGTCGTTGTTCGCTTTTACGCCACCTCTCCACGAACTCATCCGGGGTACGGGGAACAGTATCGTCGAAGCCAGGCTTGACGCGGCGTTCGTGCGGGCTGGTCATTGACGTTAGGAAGTCAGGTACGGTCTGCCTTCTTGGGCAGTGGAATCCCAAATCCTGGAAGTATTGCTTGGCTTGTGTGCGTCTCCCAAAGAAGATCTGCCTTCCTTCGTAGATGACGGTCACCCTGTCGAACAGGTCGTATGCGGACTGCGGGGCCTGGTATAAGGTAACAGCAGAAGCGACTCCCAGAAGATCTGCTTGCAGACGAAGGTTTCTGCAAAAGTTGACCGCGTTGGCGCTGTCAAGGCCTCTCGTCGAGTTGTCCCAACACTGGAACTTGGCACCAGTGAGCGCAGCTTCAGCAATGCTGACGCGCTTTCGCTCACCACCGCTGACACCACGAACCACGTCGTCTCCTACTCGGGTATCAACGGTGTGCATCAAGCCAAAGATTGCCATCATAACGTCGCGGTTGACGAGGTCAAATTGTTGGCGGGAGAATCCAGCAGGGATATGTCGAACAGTGCGGGCTCGGCTTGCGAAGGTCAAAGTTTCTCCCACAGTCAGGTGAGCGAGGTGGTTATCCAGCTCGGCGTTGTAGAGAACATCTCCTCGCAGGGAGGAACGGATATGGTTCGGATCGATTCCTATCATACAATTAAGATCAGCAAGCTGTCCATGGAGGCAATCGGGACATAAACGGCCAGTATCTTACCGCGATAGCTGATGTAGGCGCGTTCATCTACCTCAAGGTCCGCCGTCTGAGATGACAGAGTTTTTAAGAATGTTGAGCAACCGGAGCCTGGAGGACCTAGAACCAGTAGCATCTCTCCCTTCTCAACGACGCCCTCGAAGCCGCTCAGAATGCTGAGACGTCGTTCATGCCGCTTGCTATTGCTGGCAAGTCTGACCAGATCCTTGGCAATGCTAACTACAGCATTTCCGACCGACTGTTGGAACCGAGCACCTGTGCTGGAGCCAAAAACGCTGAGATCCTTGAATGCGACGCCGAGGGCACGTTGCGGGGCAGAGGCCGGATCTGATTCGGCGAGCTTGATGAACTCCTTGATCCAAGTGCGAGCATCGAAGTTGGCAGCCGTCGGGTCCAGACTGCTTCCTGGGTGCGGGCTGAGGGGGCTGTTGTTCTCGTAGTCGAGTTGCGAGAACGGTGTTGATGTCGAACTCGCTGAAGAAGTCGATTTGACGTGTGTGTTGCTGATCCTGCGGACGAGCTCCTCGATATTCTCGTCCGCCGCGGCTGGCTTATGTGAATGCTCCATCGTAGCCCTGCGGATATCTCTCTGTATCTTCGTGTTCGTCGGGTGCAAAGATAGCCCGTCTGCCGCATCCCCCATTTCCGACAGAAGACAGGCCGTGGGTATTATCTCCAGAGAGGACGATCAGATACTCGCTCTTTGCTGGAGAAGCTTTGAGATACTGACCAACTGGCGAAACATTAATAGACAATACTGCCAAAGCCATATGAAGAATGGAAATACCGAGAAGCGGAGACGGAACGAGAAAGACGGGCCGTCTCCAAAAACCTTGTGGTTCTCTCACTGGTGGTTCTGATGTTGGATTCTGCGAGGACTGCACTGGGCTGCTGCAATTAGCCCGCTTCGGCGCCGAAGAAAACTGCAGTTCAAAGTTATTTCCCACGGGACATGGCAGATTCTTGGGGCTCGGCTCCAGTCTCGGGAACATCATTGTCGAGGCATCTTTCAGGTGCCTAGCTAGTGATACCAAGAAACCGACGGAGAAAGTAGACACGGTGGAAATACATTGCGGCACAACTCCCGCTAGGCATCGCCAGGGTGTTCCCTCGAGTCGGCGAGCATACGCCGCACTGCAGCAAAGGATCTTTGCATCGTGGCAAGGCACGACACGGGCGGTAGCTCGGTAAGTTGGCGGGCTTGGTACGGGTCAGAAACTGTCCGGTATGGCGTTGAATGAGACCACAGTTCGGTGTTCGGTTCTTGGCGCGGGGACGCGGATGAATTAAATACGTGAACTGTGGATCTTCCTATGGCCCCCACTCCGCGCTTTCAAGACACATACATAAGCAGCGCTTACCGGATGAGTGACCCTTGTCTAAGACCCTAGGATTGTCGGAAGGATTCAGTGGCTTTCTTAAGGGCGCAATGCACACTGCAAGGCTCAGCTTCTCTCCCTCCTGTCCTCCCGTCGGCTCCATCCATGAACCTGAGGGTGTCCAGCTCCGGAAGACCGGAATTGTTACCGGGACCCACTTACAACTATCCGACACCAAAGGTCTTCCGTCATGGGGCTCAACTTTCCCCGTACTTCACGATGTTACGTAATGGGAATCTTTCTTTAGAAGAAGTAGATGAGCAACTCGGGCTTTTTGCCTTGGATGTGACACGGAATGTATTGTAGCGTATTGAGCCAGGAGACGAACCCAACAAAATTCCACGAATAGTTGTCTATCTGAGACGCCGCCTGAAGTTCCCGTTTCTTCTTGGCTGTTTTTTATGTACTGGTGTTATCTAGAATTGTGCTTCGATGGCGGACGACAGTGGTAAAGACGACGATGAGTACGACGATGCCAAGGTAATACATTTTGCTTCAGCGCACGGGAAGCCCGGTTACGTTAGCGGTGGGGGCATCTTGTCAATTTCGTGTGGCATCTTTTTACAATTGACACTGGAGTTTGGGGTGTGTATTGCTAGAATTTTCAATTCCAAAAAGAAACATCAATGGTAAATATGGCACCTAGATCTAATTATGTCTAACTGGAACCATTCATTCCCTCCTTAGAAGCCAAATTCTGGGCGTGGCGGGCTGCAGAGCATAGCTTAATCTGACCGTTGGGCCCTTGACGACGGTTATAGGCCTCGCATTCCATAGTCTCTTTGGCCCAGTCACAAATGGACGCGGCGAGTCTTTTGACATCGTCGTCCGTGTTGTGCCCGTGAAAGACTAGTCTGATTCGGTCTGTTCCCTTGGGCACAATGGGAAAGCTGATTGGGTATACCTGGAACCCGGCCAGTTGAAGATGGATGGCGAGGTAAAGGTTGTGCTTGGGCTTCGTCCAAACTGGGCAGATCTGGCTCATGAAAGGCAGAGACTCCCAATCTTCCTGCTCATAAAGAGGAATACGAAGGAATCCAGCGTCGTTGGCTTTGTCCCAGAGTTGGTTTTCCATGATTTCTTCCAAGAACAACTTCACCAAGTCCGGAATTCTGTTTTGGGCCTGAAGGGCACTGGTTAGTTCCAATGCAACGTGAATATTTAGGAGCAAAACTAGCAGATAGAAACGAGTACCTCTTGTGTCTTACCAGCCTTCATCAACCGGTACGCAGCACGGGTGGAAGCTACGATCAGATTCGGGGGCGATGTTGAATACAATACCGGTTTGGCGTTGTTGATCAACATTCTTCTCACAGTGGCATTGGAGAGAATGGTAGCTGAAACGATTAGTATCAGGCCCTGATGCCAGTGACATACGCAGATGAACTCACCGCCAGAGCCGCAGAATGCCTTCCCGTAGTTCTGATTCTGCACGGCAATCTCCTTCTCCAGACCGAGCATGCTCACGTAGCCTTTGCCTTGTGGGCCGAAGCAACCAGAACTATGGGCTTCGTCTACGACGAATTGCGCATTGCCATTCGGGAAGATCTCTTTGGCAGCCTGGACCAGCTCACGAAGTGGAGAGCCATCGCCATCCATGCTGTAAAAGGACTCCACAGCAACGACGATGGATCTTTGACCGTTGCGGATCTGGGGCTGCGACTCTTTGACTGCCATGAGAGTTTCCACGAAGTCATTGACATCGTTGTGTCGGAATGGCTTTTGACAGAGAGCGAGACTGTTCTTCATCCCATTGTGGATGCTGGCATGAACCAGCTCGTCATAGACGATGGCATCGCCGGGGCGGGCGAGGGCAGTAAAAATTGCTTCATTGGCCAAAGCACCTGATCCTAAAAAGAGTGCCGACTCGACTCCATGCAACTCGGCAATTTCTCTCTCAACGGTTTCGAGATACGTCGAATTTCCATTGAGGGGTCGTGTGCCGGAGGCACCCAGCTGAAAGTCGGGGTTTGCTTCCAGTTCCTCGAAGAAAGCCTGCTTCACAGCACCAGATGTACCAAGAGAGACGACGTCACAGGAGGAGAAGTCCACCACAGCATTGTTCGTGTGGAACATTGCACAGGCTTGCTGAGCTCTGTTGGCGTCCAATTCCTCTTCCAGATTCTTGTAGAAGATGGCACCATTCTTCAAATCAGGACCCCGGACCTTCTGAGCCTTAGCCCATTCTTCGACAAAGGAAGAGGTTCCAAGTGCGGTGGTCATGGTAATAAAAGAGGGCTACTGTTCTAACGATATCTTGAGAAGGTATCTGAAGCGTAGGGGAGTATTAGGGTAGCAATTGCAGAATAGATGAACACAAGGTAGAAGGGAATTGATCATAGATGTCGGTATGAGAAGTCTAGCCACCATGAGGTGCTTATGAGGGATGCCAATGAAATTGAAATGGGTCGTGGCGAGGCTTTGAGCAAAAACAAGTAGGATTAAACAAATGACGTCTTTGGAAACTCTGTCATGTACGGAATCGATACGTACACATGCATTTCATCTCGATGGCGAACACGGATACAAGTTGATTACTCGAAGTACATTGGTAAGCAGTAGACATTCTCGGCGACCACCACGGCACAAAGCCTTGAACTTGTGGCTGCACTGATGGATGTTGAAGTCCCAAATCAGCCCTATGAATCACCTCAGCTTCAATACATCTGCTGCCAAGCTTACATTGACTAGAGCTCGCCATCCTGTCTGCCTGAAGTAAAATGTAGTATCTACTAAGTTGCGAGTCAAATTGACTTCCCCTTCGAAGCCATAACTTCACAATTACGCCCATATGTCGCTCCCCAAGTATGTATTAGGCACTTTTTCAGGAGTATCAAACGCTGAACTCCGACGCCATGCAACGTTCTCCTGAAGGATTCAGCCAAAACCCCTAAGCTTTGGATGAATCAAACTGATCTTAATACTGGGCCCGAGATGTATCCCTGGACGATGCCTTTCGTACTCACCGAGATTCTTGGCACATCGTAAGATGGAGCCGAGATCCCATCTTGAGATGCATGAAGGAAGTAGGGCCCTGGCCAACCAAACAAGCTAGTACCTAAGTGTAAGCTCACAACTGTTCCAATGCCAAGAACCCCGTAAGGCTCCCACTCTCGGGTAAATTGTCTGGCTTGCATGGCAACAAGGAATTTAGAAGCGGTCGTCTTGTGGTCCGGGCTTGCCGCCGCTAGTGCCAATCTTCAGGCGCGAAGACCCGCAATGACTTGCGCGATGAGACATTTGAATCCTTCAAAGGATTGCGGCGGGTTAGTCGACGGAAGTCCTGACATTGAGTATACGGTTAGAGAATCGGACAGGGATAGGAAGGTAGGTGGGCGGTAGTGGTCTTGGCGTACAGCTCTGAGCAAAACGGGGGGAACGGACGAACCCGGATCGTCGTGTTACCCACACTCACTACGCCTTAGATGTCCATGTTGGAAAACTACCAAGTTTATCGGCCTAATGAACCAGGATTGCATGCGCAGGTATTTCAGGACATGAGCCGAGAGGTGTGCTGATTATAGCACATGCAGCAGGAGTGGGGCGATGTACCAACGAGTGCGAATACAAAAGGAAACATCTTTCTTCCATATTGAAACAGGTACTTACGAATACGCGAGCAACTTTGCCCTGACACTCGTGACACTGATCTTAGGAGGTGCACCCGTTGCAAGTCCAGGTCCGGATCATGCAGTACCCCTGCGGGGCGTGATCAAGCGTGGCGGGGCATCTTGGCGAGATGACTGCATGTATGACGATGTCTCATTACAGCGTAGTCGGGGATGGATTTGAATCAAAACCCGAGGCAGAGCCAGTTGGATTTAGTGGATGAGGCAAAGGGCTAGGCAGAAGTGAGTCGGCCGCTGCCGTTGAGGAGGCGGCGGCAAATGCAAGTTTAACTTACATGCAAAGTTGACAACTTCCGTTTACAAAAGTGACAAAACCACATTCAACCCCTGAAAAAGAGGCGCCTAGTCTGGAGATGTATTACGACAACAACCCACTCAGCGATCCTAAATGTCATCATTTCTTGAGTAAATCGATGGGACAATCTAATATGAAATCGCGGACTAGGCGTGAGACTAGGGACGTATATACGAACACCTGCTTGTATCTAGTACATATCGACTTCCTTGAACCCGACTCTTGCCAGTCGGAACAATCATCTTCGAGGCTTGATTTGGCCTTACGACGCATATGGGTCACAGGAAGAGAAAAAGCCACCAATCCTTTAGGATGGGCAGGAATGTTGCATTGCCGACTGGTCTTGTACTCAACGCCAGGTACGATTTAATGCCTGCCCGTTAGACGAAGGCCAGGAGCATCATCTGAGTGTCTTAACTTTAGCGAAAGGATACATTTACTAAAGCTTGACATAACTCTGCAGAAAAGTGACTGAATACGCGACTAGATGCGCCAGGCTGATTGTCTGCTGCTGAGAATCTTGAGAGACTTTGATAGGTAAAGTTTGATCGATATCTGTCTCGGAACTGTGAAGGATCCGGTTCACCTGGATCGTGAGGCTTTCGTAAGACACCTCTTTAGGCCCAAGGAAGGGAGAAAGATGATCGTCAATGGTCGAGAAAATGATAAATCTTTGGACATGCCAATAAAGGCTAGATCGTATGCACAAGGCAGGCGAGGCGGAAAACTTGGGTTACGAGTCGCTTACAGATGTTGACGAGCAGGGTCGCAAAAGCCTCACACCCATCTAGGAGTGGATTCACAGAAAACGGACCATACGAATCCTTTCGATCCTCTTGCACGTCTGCCTAGAAGAACTGAACGGAAGTTCTCGAACGACATAGGTCGCAGCCTCGTGGGCTGTTTGGCCGAGACTAGGATCATTCACCCAGATACCTTGTGCGGCTCAGTCGTCTCTCTAAGAAGATTAGCACGAGCAGCAGTAGTGGAGTCGTCGGTCTGCAGATGTATTCGGATGGTTGAAGTGAACATGACAGGTAGTTGTCAAGCATTTCGACCTTGCAAAGAATAACAACACGCTGAGTTTTAGATATAACTCTCAATTGACCCAAGGGTATTGCAACACATGTAGGGCTGAACTGTCTATTCATCTTCATCTTATCACCTTCAACCCTTTCTTATCTATTTCAACATCATACACTCACGATGCCGTCGCTGGAAACTTCAGATACCTCGGCGCCTGTAGCAGAGCAGTTTACCACCGAAACTTTCTTACCAGAAGGCCTCGATGCTGTCAATACCAACGCTACATCTCGCGAGAGGATTTCAATCGTTTCCAACGGTCGCAGCAACGGCACTACCAACAATAGTGCAAATGACCATTCCAACGGAGGAATGAATGACCACTCACCCATAAACGGGAACGGTGTCGATAGTGACGCCCCGTCTCCTTTCATCTCCTCTTCTACAGCTAAGCCGCCTGTCCCCATTGCCATCTGTGGTATGGCACTTCGCCTTCCAGGTGGACTGGAAAGCCCCCAAGATCTCTGGGAATTCCTGATGGCCAAAGGTGATGCGAGGAGCCGTGTACCTGTTTCCCGCTACAATATCTCTGCCTATCACTCCGATTCGGGGCGACCCGGTACTATTGCAACCCAATATGGGTACTTTCTTGACGACAACGTCAAACTCGGGAGTTTAGACGCAGCTCGCTTCTCACTCAGTCGTGCAGAGCTTGAGTTTGCCGACCCGCAGCAAAGACGCATGCTTGAAGTTGTGCGCGAGGCTTTTGATGATGCCGGGGTGATAGACTTCAAGGTGAGTCCAATTGTAAAACAAAAGGGTTCATGACTGACTTGAAGCTAAGGGTCGAACTATCGGCTGTTACATGGGCAGCTATGGAGAAGACTGGCTGGAGATGCAAAACCGGGATCACCAGCAGTCTGGTGTCAATCGAGTCGACGGTTATAGCGACTTCATGCTTTCAAGTCGCATCTCCTATGAGATGGATCTGAAAGGACCATGGTACGTTAATCAGCCTTCCTCTTATGAAGTAACTCAATGTATGCTGACCAACATTCGATCAGCATGACTGTGCGTACTGCTTGTTCTGCAGCGTTGATATGTCTCAACGAGGCTTGTCAGGCCATTCAGAACGGTATTTGTGACGCAGCAGTCGTTGGAGGCGCCAACCTAATCATGGCACCGGGCATGACCGCCTTTATGACTGAGAAAGGCGTGCTTTCGCCTGAGGGTCACTGTCGAACCTTCTCCGCCGATGCTAACGGCTATGCCAGAGGAGAGGCTGTAACGGCAGTCTTTGTGAAGCCACTTGATGCCGCCATCCGCGACGGAAATCCCATCCGAGCTGTCCTTCGCTCAGTCGTATCTAACAGCGACGGCAAGACCCAGGGCATTGCTCAGCCCAGCACCGAAAGTCAGGAGGCCTTGATGCGAAAGGCCTACCGGGATGCAGGGATCTCTGACCTCTCTCAAACTGCTTTCGTCGAATGCCACGGAACCGGTACACCAGTTGGTGACCCTATCGAAACCAACGCTGTCGCGAGGGTCTTTGGAGATGCTGGCGTTTTTATCGGCTCCGTCAAGCCCAACCTGGGTCATTCCGAGGGAGCATCCGGCCTCACATCTCTCATCAAAGCAGTTCTATCACTAGAAAATCGTACGATCCCGCCCAACATCAAATTCACCAGCGGTAACCCCAAGATTCCTTTCAAGGAGAGAAAGCTTACGGTTCCTTTGGAGGCGACACCGTGGCCGGAAGAACGCCTCGAAAGAATCAGCGTTAACTCTTTCGGAATCGGAGGCTCAAATGCTCATGCAATCTTGGACTCGGCCCGTAGCTTTGGCATAGAGCATAAGCCTGTGGATTCAGCCGAGGGGCTTATTGAAAACAAGATCCATCTCCTTCCATTCTCTGCTACGTCCTCGTCGTCGTTGCAGAAGATGACGAACAAGTTCCAGGAGTGGATAAGGAGCAACCCCGACAAGCTAGAGGAACTGGCATATACCCTCAGTGTTCGAAGAGAGCATTTGCCCCACCGATCATTCATGGTGGCCAGCGTGGAGAAGCTCCCAGAGATGGCATCCCAGGGCCTGCGAGCGGGCAATGCTTCACCCAACCTTGTCATGGTCTTCACCGGACAGGGTGCTCAATGGCCACGCATGGGCCGGGAGCTTCTCCTTCGTGAAGATCTTACTTTCCAGAGCAGCATTCGTTCTCTGGACCAGTGCTTGCACGAGGTCCATGATGCGCCCGAGTGGACAATCGAAGAAGAGCT